ATACATATAATCACAATCCCACTAAGGCATATGAAGAGAGTGTTGCCTTTAACATGTAATCCGGACAAGAATCCTCCAAAATCCAGCTGGACGCCTTACATGAATAGTACCCACCAGTATCATTGAGCATGGGTTCTTCAAAGTCTTTTTCATAACATTCCATGTCAATCTCAACAAAAATATCCAACACATTCTTCAGTAGTGTCCTGTCTATCCGTTCTCCCTCACGTTCTTTGTCAATCTGCCACCAAGCAATTCTTACACTTTGTTTCTTATTCAAAATAAGACTTAGAATCTTGAAAGGATACGAGGCATGAACTTACCAAGGTAATTACTGCATCTCTGACTTTACCATTTATTTCATTGTATACCTAAAATTAGAAAAAGCAATATCATGAAATGAGTCAACAGAATAATTGAAACAAAAAGAAACATATTCAAATCCAACTCAAACTAGCACATAACATTAATATTAGATGCAAAAAGAAGTCATCACATACCAGCTCACGGAAGCATGTTAATCCAACTTCATTAAGTGCAGGAAGTGATCTCCGAGGAATGAATTTCCTATCAAGATAATGGAAGAATCGCAACAGCCAGAAGATCATGACTTTATGATTCGACCATCTTTTAACAAGCTCCCTTAGCATGAACTCATCATGCTTCTCTCTTAAAGATGGCAACACCTGGTAAAGTGGAAGATGGAAAGAGAAAAGAACAATGAGCAACAATCAAGTACACTAACAACAAAAAAGTCAATAGTTAAATCTTTTTATTTCTTACCAACACTCATATTTTATCTATTGATAGTAAAGTAATTTTTTTGATGCCTTACTGATGGTAAAATAATTAAACCATTAAGAATTTCCCACAAGACTCAAGGATAAAAAATGGGACTACAAAAATAACAACCAATCTCAAATAAAGCAGTAAAATTTTCCATGCATCAAAATAGCTTCGAAACAGGAAACAGAGAACCTGAATCAGATCAGAGCCAAATATATTATCAACTGCAATGCACTTTTATAAGCAAGTAGATACTGCAGGCCTGGGAAACAAGGTTCGTTTATAGCTATCTGAGATTTCAAAAATTCTCAGAAAGATATGCAGTGAAGATACATGTATTCCTGGAAATAATAGGTCTTCTTATAATTAAAGGATTAGACACCCCTCTTTCATACAATGAAGAGAATAAATGATGGATTCAACAGAAATATATAAATAATAATAGAGGATCTACAAAAGAACATGCACACTGCAGTCAACAATAACAGAACATAGCACAACATTCTCTAAACAGATGGACATAAACATCGTCTAGAAGACAGAGAGTTAGTCTACATAATACAAGTATTTTTACAATCCAATAAAGTTAAGAATATGGGATAAGCACCAATATTCCTTACCGTTGAAGTAATATACTCCTCGAAAGCTTCCCGGTACTTGTCATAAAGCTGTTGGGAATAATCATGAGGAGGCTTCTGTTCACACATGTTGTAGATTGTTCTGCAATTGGAATTAATGAAAAGATCATGGCAATATGTTCAAAACAGTTGTTAACAAAAACTCACAAACGAAAACAGCAAATAGAAGGTTACGTGTAAAGCTCCATATATTCTTCTGAGCTAAATGGTTGCTCTGGCTTCTCCTCCAAAATCCTCTTCAATTTTGTGATCCCATTCTGTATGCAATCCCATCCTTGATCCCATTCAATAGTCTCAAGGGCCATTGTTGAGAATTACTGAAGGTGAGATTTCTTCAAATTTAAATCTGTAGATACATGAGAAAACCATCAAAACTTGATCTGTCAATGCAATAAACCATATTTGTAAAAATAAGGGACACTTAACAAACTAATGGATAGCTATCAGAAAAACCCTCAGCACATACAATACCAATTCACTAA